TATGTTTTTTCATAAAAAACACCGCAGTGCGTGGAGCAGCTAGTTTACGAGTTTGAAACCCAACTACCTTTTTGTATTTTTTTATTTGCTCCTTTATCTTTCATATGAACAAAAACATAAAGACAATAATAACCGCATAATAAAATAAAACAATCAAGCAGAGGTCGAAATGTAACAGGAATGCCGAGTATCTCGCGCTTCTGCAAAGAGACTCCTACGCAAGGATAATTTAGAGTTAGTCCTTCCAGAATCTCTTCACGACATCCAGTAGTTTTGTTTCTTTTGTAACACCCTCCCAAAATCAGCTCCGGAACATATAGTACTTAATTTCAGTGTTCGTGATGGTGATGACACGGTAGCGATTTTATCCGGCATCAATTCAAAAATTGAGCAGCCTAGGCCTAGCGTTGCTTATCTCCAAAAAAATGTTTAAGGTGGTGAGTATATATACCTCTTAAATATCTGACAAATGTGCTTCTTTGGTAAGTGAAAAGTATATAAAAAGAAATTGCTAAAACAGTGTAATTTCAAAACGTGGTTTCAACTTTAACTCCATATTGTAGCTGCTAAATTCCACAGTGAAAAACATGCGTAACAAGACTTTATTATTTGAAACTTGTGCAAATACTGTAATTAATAATAGCCTTGTCCACCGATGTATGTATAGCTTTTTTTTACTACTTACGATGTGTATTACATTTAATTTTATTAGACTTTGAAATATAGCATATCTGAGAATTTTATGAAGGTACGGCAACACTGTCCGAATAAAACACGAAATGTCTGGATCACAGAACGGTGCGCATGAGAGAGAGAGGGTGCTGTCACCATGATACTCCGACAAAGATAGAAGATGCTACGTACGTCGACACATCATTCATTTCCCAAAATTTCTTATCAAATTTCATACCAGTTCGTGAGTCTCTTTGTGTTCTGCAGGTTCCTCGACACTTCTTCTGTGAAATAGTAATATCTATGGCGGTTATATTAGTTATAGTGACTGGAGTAAAAAAATGTTACATAGAAGTTGGTGGTGGGACCTTTATCAGCATTAAATCCAGTCGGTTGCCCTCCCCTGGAATATTCCGGTAACAAAACCCATTATGCAAATCGGGGATCGTGATCGGTACCCATAATCGTATTAAAAACACATGCGTGTGCCGTTATTTTTTAGTTTGCTACTTCTACGGTGCGTCGAATGCCTTTCAGTTTAAGGTAGAATATAGAACAGGAGTTTCGTAGCAATAGAAAAAAAAAACGAAAAACCATTCTTTTGTTGAGAATTTGTAAAATTCAATGACTTGCTCTAGTCGGCAACAGCTCGCGCTAGCCTTGTGTTTTGTCGTACCCTAGTCTTAGATATATGAAGTTCGATAGAATTAGGATGGAAGGCAGAAGCGCGGCGTCACGTCATGAAGAATAGCTCTAAGGAGCAAATTCCAGAAGAGAGTTAGATTGCCGGCCGTCCGTCGGTGCAAAAATGTTCCAAGACTTTCCATTAGAGAAGTGTCGTCGATCAGTCGGGTAGCCCTTATCTGAACAGCATCGTCTATGGACAATGTAGTTGGGGCAGCAGCACCCCAAACATGCGACGAGTACTCGAGATTGGGATTTATCTGGGCCTGGTACAGAGTGAGGGCGCTATATGGAGTAAAGTACTTCTCAGGCCTAAACAAATAACCTACCTTTTCTCCAGCAGCTGTTGCGATTGACGAGATGTGTTCCTGCAAAAACAAACCCTCGGTGACATTGTCTCCGACCAGCCGAGACGAATGGCTCTTTGGCAGAGCTCGGCCATCCATTGAGACCAGATGAGTACTATGGCGCTTCTTGTTACTCAAGGTACAGTACTGTGTTGAGGAAGCACTAAACTGTACCAGATTGTCGCTTCCACAAGCAGACCTCTCGTCAGAGAGGAAGCCGCTGCTGTTGCCTATTTTGAGACCGCGACACAGTTGGCACCTGTCTTGATGATCCTATCGAACCCTTTCCGGCTTTTGAGCATAGTTTTTGCATATCGCAATCAATGATCAAATAGCATTAAACTTCAGCATGCTCGTTGTTAAGCAGACAAGCAGCTAAATGTGAGCTTTATACTTGGGAGATATTTCTTCGCCACATTGTTTGGAATATGAAATATTCTTTATTCCATATATTATCCTAAGACCCTACAATCCACAAACCATGCTAGTGAAATACGGGTTTTACTAGTTCATGCAGTTGTGCGTGCCTCCATAGATGGCGCTCGCGGCGTATAGGCTATGTAAAAAGTGCGTAGTATGGGTATATGCATGCTTTTTTGAATTATTTTGCCGACTATTCTCGTTAATATAACACCGTAGACACATACCTATTTCATCCACGGAAATATCTATGTTTTATTAAATTAAATATTTAACAGTGCAATTTCAACGACTTTGATTTAAACGCCGTATTTTTCGCGCGCCTGGCATTGACATTACCACACATGGTTTAACATTTTATTCTATATATATACTAAGTGACATATAAATCCGAACACCCAGTTTAAATGGTTTTATTTTAATAAAATGTTGTATAAGTACTTGATGAAGCATAATAAGTAAATGATAAAAATTTCAAAATGATTGCACTGCTTTAAAGCCCTTTGACCTTTAATAATGTGTGGATGCACCCTGATGTGCTACGCATTCTCCAACGCGCCTAGGCATGCTTCTGATCAGGTGGTCAATGTCCTCCTGTGGTATCTCATTCCAGGCAACCACCAACTCCTCTCGAAGAGCTTCTAGAGTCTGAGGAGGACGTTGCAAATTGAGCAATCTCCTACCCATCATATCCCGCACGTGCTCAATGGGGGATAAGTCGGGAGATCTTGGTGGCCATGGTAACAATGTGACATCATTATGTTGAAAGACGTCTATTGTGACTCTTGCAACATGTGGTCGGGCATTATCTTGTTGGAAAGTTGGATCTGCCAGGGTTTCAAGATAGGGTAAAAGATGGGGTTCTAGAACTTCGTGGATATAACGCTGCGCGTTCATGTTACCTCTGATGAAGATTAAAGGTGACCTGGAACCATAAGCTATAGCACCCCAAACCATAACTCCAACAGTGTGATGAACATGTCTTTCAACAAAAAACTGTGGATTCCTCCTTTCACCACGTCGCCTTCTAGCCCTGGCACGACCATCGTGCATGCCTAAACAAAATCGAGACTCGTCACTAAAGACAATACTGTTCCATTCCTGATCCCAGAGTGACCGTTGTCTGCACCACTCAAGGCGATTACGTCGGTGTTCTCGAGTTAAAGGGAGGACCCAGTGTGGCCGGTATGAAAACAAGCCAAAACTTCTCATTCGTCGGTAAACACTTCGCATGCCGATAGGTCTTCCGTGTTCTGCAAACCATTCATTTGCAATGGACCTGGTAGTGGAGAAACGGTCCCTTAAGGCCAATAATCTTAGGCGGCGATCTTCACAGTCTGTTGTTCTACGGCGGCGTCCAGTGCCCCTTGCTCTTTGCGTACGGCCTTCTCGAAGCCATGCCTGACAACACCTAACCACAGTGTCTACACTTCTTTGCACTCTAACTGCAATTGCCCGAAAAGAAAGTCCAGCTTCCCGAAGTCCCACTATACGGCCCCTATCAAACTCACTAAGTTGACGAAATCGTACAGGTCTCCGTACACTAGGCATCGTAACCGATCGTAAAGGATGTCAAGAACCATAATCCGCCAACGTTGATTCTTTACTGCGGCTGAAATATTCATTTTTAGAGCGTTAGTGAATTAAAAAAAAAGCAATATAAAAACCGAAATGTCCAACTGATAAGGCTGAAAATTTTTTCACTTGTTATTTACAGTAAGATAAATACATTCACCAACTTTTATTAAAATAAAACCATTTAAACTGGGTGTTCGGATTTATATGTCACTTAGTATATATATGGTTACTTTGCTTGCAAGTAATCAAGCAGTCTTGTGTCGTCTTTCCGACATTGTCTTGGCGGCGAAATCCTCATGGCTGGTGGCAGGACGTCCGTTGTCAAACGGTCTTGACATCTATGTTGAAAAAAGCGCGTAACCCATTGTAGTTAGATAGCTCAGTGGCGGATTGCACTTCAACCAGTACTCTTTGGAACTGATCAAACTGATAGGTTCACAATCGATGACAGCGACAAAGGTTTGGCTGCGCAATTGCCGATGTCGTGACGTCACCCCAATGGCATTGCGTTCCGATACTTAAATATGCCTCGTATTTGTCCCGTTTTATATTAGTTAATACTCGTAATTTTATAGCACATGAATATAAAATAAGGTTGGAGGTAGATTTCCGTAGCAATATTCGCTATTCGAATTTTGCAATAACAAATGTAATATTACGATTTTTACTTAACAAGCATCCAGCAGTAGATTCGATTTTTCGAAAGTTTTCATTTTCTTGGTTGAGGCCTAAGGGACTCGGGCTAAAGGTGAAAGGGGCGATCACGATCGTCGGGCCCATCGGAGATGAAATTTTCATGCGCTTGGAGCCACATGGCGAACTCCAGCACCTTATGGGCGATGAAAATGTTATGTATGGTGCCGCCGTCTAAGTGAGAAAAAATACGCAACACGTCAACTGGAGAATCTCAATATCCTGATAGAATTCTACTCAGCTATTATGTTAATTTGTGATATAGTGAAGCTGGCTGCGAAGCCGAAAGTGGATAGGTGATTCGAAGTACAAAGTATACGCCTGCTCTTCCCGCGCCTATTAGCGTCAAGGTTTCAAGTTGTCAAGTTTGTCCTAACTAGGTAGTGAAATTCAACCGAAGGATCATGTATGGGATAACTATACAGTTGTGGTCAAACCGCATAATCTAATCTAGTATGATTTACTGATAAGTTGTCATGGGTAACACGAGACACATATACCGAACATTAACTTCCAAGTCACAGTTACCTAACTTGAAAGTTAACCAGCGATTGAAAAACTGGGCCCTGGGAGTAAAAACTAATAAGGGGTACCATACAAAAATAGGCTCATCTTTTATTTCTTAAAAAAATATATTTGATGATATATGTTGTATACAATATTATCTGTATTCTTTATTCTCACTTTGACACTAATTATCTCGGGGAGGTGGTGGCGGTGGTACCCATGCATGTATTTTTTGCTTAGTGGTTGAGTAGGGCATGTATTGACCAGGTGTTCCACTAAGGTTTTCAGTATGATCCGACGTCCATTTGTACTTTGGTCTGCTGTGATCTTTGTCTGGTGGTATATCCGTTCTGTGGTGGAGCCAGCCAAACCATTCTGCAGGTACCTAGTGTATCGAAGTCAATCAGAATATTTTTCCAGAAGGTATTGCAGATTCAAAGAAGTTGACTCATTTGAAAAAATGAAATCGAAGAAAAATTATTTTAGGTCTTATAACTGTCGATAAGATTTATGACCTGCTTGATCCTTTTCAGCATTGCATTTGTCATAGTCTCCAATTAGTCTAAGTGCCGGTAACACAAACCCCTTTACTATCCGCTACTCCTAGTTATACTGGGTTCTCGGGCATCAGTGAAAGATGCGGGTCCATATAAACCCTGCGGAGCCAACGGGCCCAGTGACGGTCCGAGAAAAAATTCTTGGGGTGGGGGGTGGTAGAGGGAATATGAAATGCTTGGCGATTGAACATTGAAGAATCTACCCCCGCCACTACCCCCTGGAAAGGTCGTCCTGTATCTCATCTATTAGAAGCATTGGATTATAAGCTGGCACAACCTGCAAATTCTAGGGCATTTTGAGCAATCACAAAAAGGCTTCTCAATAAGCTACACGAAATTTAACTGACACGCAGCCACCACAAAAACTTAACAGAAAAATCTGATCATTTTATCACTTGTTCATGGCAAAATAAATCGATATGTAAAGAATTCTTGAATTCTAATAAACATACGTAAGTGTTTACCCTTGTTTGTCACTCAGTATAATAACCTCAATATTGATGTTATTCCAAATTAATTAGTCATACTTGATTGTCGGAATTTCCTATACTTGAAAATTTCGTTCTACTTTTTAGTTCGATTTGCTATAAACGCATGTTGTTTGCTTTAGCTTTCTTTCAACTATATAATTTATTTGCTGAACCTTTAGTCTCAGAGCGACAATAAAAGTACATAACCAAGAGCTTCAATTTTTGGTATATTCTATATTCGACAATAAATCTAAATTTTGTTCCAAATTTTTTGAAATTTCTAGTATTACAAGTTTTTTCAAGATTCACAAATGTTTTCCAAAATATCTTCAAATTACGTATTTTTCGAATTTCCAAACTCTACAAATTTTCAAATCAAATTTTTTTCCAATTTTCAAAACTCAAATTTTTTAAAAATCCTCAAATTCCAATTTTTTTCCAAGCAAATCTTCAAGTTAATCAAACTTCTTGGAATTAGTCAAGATAACATTGTAAGATTCTGTCACAAACATACATACAAGCAGCTAATCAAAGCGTATTAAAACTAAAGTTGGTGTAGAGATTTCGGATCAACTGGCTATGAGATATACCACAAAACCTAAGTCTCACAGATGTCTATCCAAATATTTTTCAATATGCTTGATTTAGCTGGCATAAATCCCTTCATTTTTTACTGCAATTGGCAATAGAACTGAAAGCCGACTTTCGAGAGTCCGGTGAAGATCCAAAAGAGAGAACGAATACGAATCGAAATCTGCTACAGGTTCTTCTAAACGTATAATAGATTACAATTGAAATAAAATGTACAATGGAGACATCATGTATATGGAGAAAATGAGTTGAGCAATGAAGTAACAATTCCTATTATTTGTGTGTTGAAAATATACAATTTTGCTTAATTATAATAAAGTTAATTTGTTTCTTTCCTTTGCAACACCCATACCGCATCGCAACGTTCTCCTAGTAACCCAAGGGCCGCAAAGATTTTATGAAACTGTAACCGTTGTTCTAACATTCATATTGGTTTGATACATTCTAATAGACTGAATAATGTAGTTACCTGACTTGCATCATACTCGAGACCATAATAAGGAGCGTACTCTACCCATCTGTTTCTCCCCAAGAAATAGTGTCTGTTTTCGTAGTACTTGTTTCCGTATTTGTCATGACCAACAAGTACTCCCGGTCGCAAACTATCCATTCTATATAGCTTATATAGGGAAGCTCTTATCCCTCCAGCAGCTTTTATGGTTTTGAAGAACTCAAATATTCGGTCAATACCGAAGAATGCCATTTTTAGGAAACGAAGAACAGAATTGACAAAATATCAAACAGTATGACGTTACATACTGTCAGTCAACGAGAAAAATATTGCCTTTCAGCTTGTAGCCTTAGATTTTACACGGAAAAAATGAGAAGCATCTCCCACTATTTATACAGGGTGACTTCGAAGTTGAGTCATTTATTTTAACAGTGAGTAGATCTGATCAAAAGAAATGTTTTTTTTCTTTAACATTTTTCTGGTAAAATTAAAGTAACAAAGTTATAGCCCTTTAGAAGTTTGAGTACCACCCTGTCTCAATAATAATATGTGCTCGTGTTTGGCAACAACGGATATAATCGGAAACAAAAAAGCGAAAGAATTTGAAACGCTTATCACGATGTTTTATTCATTTATTTTATTCAGTTGTATTCATTCGATGTGTCAGTCGGTAACGCGTGAGTGGTGTTTCTGCGTGGCTCAAACGAAATAAAAAATGGCACATGTTTACGAAAATGCTGAACTTGTGGACATGATTCTGATTTTACAAAATGCTGCTACGGCAACACGGATTTATGCGGATCGGTTTCCCAATCGAGTGCAATCAACCCCTAGTGCCTTTGTTAATGTAGTACAAAGGGCTCGTGAATCAGGTGACTTAAGTCCTCACACGGGAGGGTATGTGCTCCAAGACCGCACGATCAAATACAGGTCCGCACTGAAATACTTGTCGGGAGGATATTTTATAAAACAAGGTAACATTTTTTTTAAATTTTTTTTTAATTTTTACACACATATTTTGGTTTATCTTCCTTCTACAATCATTATCTGAAAATTAATGACTCAACTTCAAAGTCACCCTGTATATGAGAAAAAACCGTTGAAGATAAGCAAGGCTTATACATGCTTATTTTACTCACTTTCATTAATTTGCTTCAATCAACTTTGCTTCCACATCAACAGCCGAGGATGTAATGTAATCGCATACATTTCAAAAATGAAACAATATGTTAGTGGACATTACATCACAGAAAATGGCATCTTCCCATGGCACTTCCCATGCCACGTCAGTACTTCATAAAGTATTATGCTCAACACAAGTTAGACCGTTTGAGAAAAAAGTTAATTACGAACAACGTACACTGGAGAAACTAAACGGATCAAGTCAATCAAACAGGTTCATACAATTAGTCCATAGACTTCGTGCCATACCGGTAGTTGCCGTCCATCTGGCAACGTCGCCCCTCCCAAATACCTGACTGCACGTCGCGTCAGTCTTGGCAGCGCGGTACTAATAGCAGACTCCCCGTTGAACCCAGAGAACAGAAGCAGAGCCGCGTATTAAAAACATTCCTACATCATTCTATGTTTCAAGGACAAATGTTCGGATAAATATATAATTTGTGAAATATATCTTATAGGTGCGTGGAATTACCGGAGTTGGAAGCGTATAAATGTACCAGCATCGAAGCTTTTTCGTCCTTACGATAATATGGGGTTGTCCAAAACGGACGCAGGAAAGTAAACGCATATTAAAACAAGAAAGCTTGATATTCAAATCAAGTTGGGTACTTTATTTTGAAGGTTCATTTATACCATTTATGTATGAAAAATAATATCGCTCAAATGTTCACCACGACTGGATTTACAGATGTCCACGCGATGGTCGAAATTTTCAATGACATTTTGCAACATGATCGGTTCTATGGCGTTTACCTCGGCAATGATGTTGTTTTTGAGTTCTTGGAGGATGGCTGGTTTGTTGACGTAGACTTTGCTTTTCAAATATCCCCATAAAAAGAAGTCCAAGGGAGTCAAATCGCACGATCTTGGTGGCCATGGCACATTTCCTCTGCGCGAAATCACGCGATCACCGAAGAAGGACTGCAATCGATGGATATTGACGTTGGTTGTGTGGCATGTTGCACCGTCTTGTTGGAAATAAACATCGTCCATATCCATTCCTTCAAGTTGCGGCAAAAAATAGTCCTCTATCATCACGTGATATCGCTCAGAATTAACGGTAACGGCGTCCCCGGCCGCATTTTCGAAAAAGTAAGGTACGATGATGCCTTTTGACCACAATGCACACCACACAGTCACTTTTTGAGGATACTCACGGGGATTTTCGTTCGCCCAGATGCGGCAGTTTTGCTTGTTTACCGTCCCATTCAAAGTGAAATGCGCTTCGTCGCTGAACATGATTTTTGATGAAAAATTGGCATCAATTTGGCGGTGTTCAAGGAGCCAATCTGAGAACGTTCGGCGCGAAAAATGGTCGGCCCGACGCAGCTCTTGCGTCAATTGGATCTTGTAGGCATGTACATTCAAATCCTTGTGGAGAATGCGGAGCAAACTGGTTCTCGAAATGCCCAATTCTTGGGATCGACGCGTTGTTGATTGTTTCGGATCGTCTCTCACACTCTCCTTCACAACAGCAATATTTTCCGGTGTGTGAACGCTCCTTGGCCGGCCAGAGCCTGGCAGATTTGCCACAGAACCTGTTGCCTCGAATTTACGCACCAGACGACCGATGGTTGTTTCGTTTGGGCGGTTGTTGCGACCGAAATGTTCACGAAGCGCGCGAAACGTGTTTTTTATTTTTGCACCATTTTTGTAGTGCTCTTGAATAACTTTAATGCGGTCTTCAATCGAATACGACTCCACAGCGATCAATGGTAAACATTCAACTAACAAAATGACATGTCGGTGACAGAAAACAAAGATGGCGTCTATGTCAAATTGACGTTTACTTTCCTGCGTCCCTATTGGACAACCCTTTAGTAAACTAATTTAAAAATCTTATCAAAATCTGGGTAGGACTTTCCAAGTTATAGAGGGGCGAAGGATTAGCGGATAGACCGACAGACAGACTGGCAGATAGACCGATATTTTTTTTATGATATGTACATGATCCAAAAAAATATAATATCTCATTTTAGAAATGTTTCTTGATTACATTAATTCTTCATAGAAAGTGAAAATCATGTCCATTCCCATTTCCGTCGGTCTGTTTGTCTGTCCGTTAATCCTTGGCTCGCTATATTATGGAAAGTATCGGTCAAATTTTGATGGAATTTCCAAATAAGATTAAGACTATGCTAAGAAATAAAAAGCTTTGTAACCTTTGAAAATCAATCCAGTGAAGGCGGAGCTACAGGGAAAACACGAAATGAAATAAAAGTTGTCGAAACTTCGTTTCTTAACGTTTTAAAGGTTCCTGACCATTTTCAGAAACATTTTTGAGCGGTTTAAAAATTGGAGGTTACAGAGGTGGAGCTAATTCTAATTGTTAGGGATCTTTATGGATCATCGGTGTTGCGCTTCTTCGGAAAAATATAATTTAAAAAAAATTGTTGAAAATATTTTCGAGAGCAAGGTTTAAACCTGTAGTCGCTACGTTTTGCATTTAGATTCCATTTATTTTCATTTTCCGTATCTACAATGCTTGCTTCTCGGAGTCGTTAACGATACAATATAAAATTTATATGAAGTGCTTGGCGAATGAGTATTGTGCTACGGTAACGTCACCTATAATAAACTTAACAACATCTCAGCCATATAACAATATACCTCTGCCTTTTGCCGAGACAGAGGTCGTTAAAAATGTCGTACGCCATTTTATTATATCCTATACACACTCTCTCATATCTGGTGGGTCTAAAATTTTTAATCTCACATTTTCATCCCGTGAATCGCTTTACGACCCTTCAACCAGCTCTGAATTTCAATTGGTGTTCAGATACTACCATAGACAGCGCTCTAGGTTAATATATTCAATATTCATGTAGACCCCACGCAATTAACAGATATGCTCTAGGTACCCGTCTTGCCAAAATGCCGATTTGTCTCGTTTTAGGCTCGTATATCTTATATATTAAATTCCATTAGTTTCGGTCAGGTTGTAAAGCTGTCAAGATGAAGGGGCTTATAGAGTTGTCTTCGTAAAATATTGGAATATTTGAGTCTTCTATGTCTTCTGCTAAAGCTCGCAGATTTGGATCTCGGTACTGTCACGAAAATTTTTGTCAATCGTTTATTAAAATGTGTGCAGGTGTTGTAGAGAAATTAGTGAAAATAGTGATTTATCTGTCTAGGACCGAAGATAGCGGAAACATGTCGCGGTCACAATCTCAACGATATCCAATTCTGTCCCTCATCGCACGCCACAGCGGCTGAACTATTCCGCAATATTCAAAGAGATGCCGCGCTTACAGTGCAATAGTGTGCGATGTGTTCCGCTGCTCCCTTCCTTTTTGGTACCAGAGTATTGGTCATGCTAGTGTGACTGGAGATCAAACTGACAACAGAGGATGGAAGAGAGAGAAAAGTAACCTATTTTTCTCCATACATTATCACGTTTGACGTCTGTTGACGTGAACAGCAGGGGCTTGATTCTAAGTGAGTTTCGACCGTAGACATTGATTTAGATGGCGCCTTGTGATGATATACTTGATCAGGTATGATAATTTTGGCAGTGTCATGATAATTTGAATATAGAAGATCAATATAATCAGATGTCAAAATTATCATAGCGAATCAAGTATATCGCCACAAGGCGCCATCGAAATTAATTTCAAACTCATTTAGAATCAAGCCCCTGGTCAGCAGTTAACAATTTTGCTTATACGAGTATATGATGGTTAATCCTGCGTTGCTCATTCTTGACTCAGCAGCCGTCCGTTATGGCGATTCCCATTGTTGACTCCGCCAAGTGCGGGATTCGTTCCGTGGCAGTTGACATAGGTTTGGGGACCAGGCATATGGAATCACGAGGATTACCCTATGGAAGAAAATAGATTGATGTTAGCTCCTTAGAAGACGGTTATTGTGATACCTTCTGATAATCAGGAGCTAACCTCATTGACTGTTAAGAGTGAGAATGCCGACGTACGAAACCAACATGCGATTAAGTATTTGGGAGTGTGGCTCCGCAAATATCAGAAAATCATTGAATACATAAGAATCACCACTGACGTCAGTTGACAGTCCCTATCTACAAAATTCCATGAGGAAAAAGAAATACAGAATGCTAAGAAGCCAGCTAAAGGTGGTGCTGCGCGTGGTCTGCGTTTACAGAAT